CTCCCTTTCCTTTCAACAAGGCTGGTTCTTGGTTCCCACAGCTTCCTCCTCACGTCTTTTCCTACTCAGTCTCTCTCTTACATACACACTTTTAGCTGCTGTCAATAGGAACAAGGGCCCAAATTATTTTTCTATAAGGTATCCTGTTCAGTAACTGTTGCTGAACAGCAAATTCCTCTGAATGGCTTTTACAAAGTTATCTTTAGGAAAAATTTATTGAGCTGAAAGGAAAGGGAGCTACCAAAATTCCATTCAACAATTTCCCATTTTGAAAACATATACATAAGTAAGGTGACCACGCATGCAATGATCAGTTGGCTGGTGCGCATGTGCTTGTGGAAACCGGAATCCCACCTCTTCCAGTTTCTGGCACTGCAATGCACGCATATGCCAGCTGATCATTGTGCACACATGTGCAACAGAAACCCGGAAGAGCAACAGGCAAGGCCGCACGTGCCAGATGACATGGCTCTGCGTTCCACTCAGCCCGAGTTAAGAAGCTGAGACAGAGGGCGCCATTTTCCCCTCCTGGGGCCTCTGGGCATCCCGTTTTTGGCTTCTCCAGTCCCCAGAAACACTCTGCCGGCCAAAAACTTTGCTCTTGCTTTACAGCTTCAGTCCGTGGGGCTTGCGAAGGGAAGGCCTGCGCTCAGCTGGTGGGTGGGGGCTGGAGGGTGGGCAGGGTGATTCAGGCGGGGTAGCCTCGTGGTTCCACGTGGGCCAGATTAATGGCTTCGGTGGGCTATATCTGGCCTGTGGGCCGTAGTTTGAGGACCCCTGGAATAGGGTCTCCTTCTTGAGCAGAGGGTTGAACTAGAAGACCTCAAAGTTCCTTTCCAACCCTTTTATTTTATTTTGTTATAACTTCTGTTATAGGTACATATGTTTAGCATGCTAAATACCTAAACTGCCGCCAATGGTGTGGGTGACAGCTGAGCAGGGAAGCATGGTGTGTGTGTACTTTCATCCCCATTCAAGCAAGGACTCTCATTTCCTCCCCGGCACAATTGGGACATGGAGGCTGCTGCCACCTAAGCACCATGATTGCCCCTTCCCCAGCCAGCCAGCCCCACCTGACCTGCTCCCTGCCGGCTCCTGCATATCCTCGCCATTCTCCTCCTCCTCCTCTTCTTCTTCGTGTTGTTGTCCTTCTGGCCCAAGCGGCAGTGGGCTCCACGGGACAGGCTCTCATTTTTGCACTGGGGCAGAAAACTCTGGTGGGCTGGAAGTGAATGTGGATGGCCTCCTCCCCCCCTCCCCAGTGCTTCCTTGCTCAGTTGGAGGCTTCCTTCAGCCTTCAAACAGTTGCAGGGTTTTTTCTTTGCTCCCAGGTTGGTGCAA